AACAGTTTCTATTCAACTTGTTTTGGTTTGGGTTATCTATATTTGTTTGTATTATATTATGCTCTCTATGATTTATCATTATAAATATATGAAACTTAATAACATTTAATTCCAACAATTTTTTGAGATTTATTATAGAACTAAATATAATGTATCCCTCTGTTTCTATGAGAAAGGATAATGCAGGATCCAAAAATCTGACTTACAAATGAACACAACTCATGTGCAAATTAGGGACTTCTTCCCTTTTTATTCCGTAATACTGACATCCCCAAAGAGAAATGTGGCTTGGAAGGCCAGAATAGCCAAGGAGGTGGGAGAAAAAAAGTATTAACATACCTATTCATATGCTTATTTTTATCTCATCTTTTTAAATTTTTATGTATGTATTTGTTTTCTAATGTTTGAAATGTATTTGCAGTCAGGACATATAGTTTTGAAAAGGAACTTTTGAGGATGAATACTCAGGACTAATTTTTTAATTGGGGTATGTGATAAAACTGTTGGCGAGCACTAATAGAAAATATACGTATATGGAGTGACATGGCTTCAAGTTTGGAACTCGGAAAGGGGACTTTTTAAAAGCGTTTTGAAGATTTTCTACTAATAAAAGACTTTTTAAAAATGTATCAATAACACATGTCTTTCTGCAAATAAAAGCCTCCAAAACAATGATTCTAACTAGAGGTAAAGAGCACTTGTTGCTTGTAAAAAACGCGGATCCTTGAGTCTTACTTACACCAGGAGATTCTGAGGCAGCAATCCCTTGAGAGGGGAGGGTGGTCAGTAGCTCAACACCACTGATACTGCGGGGCAGGGCACTCTGTTCTGTCACAGCCTGCCCCAGCCGGGGCATTGTAAGATGACTGGCATTATCCCTGGCCTCTAGATGCCAGCAGTACCCACCCCACTGTAATGACCTCAAAACATGTCTCTAGACTTTGCCAAATGCTTTCTAGAGGACACAATCTTCCCCAGTGGAGAGCCAGACAGAACCTGTCCAAATATGACACACTTTGTGTAATGCCATCCTTAATCAAAAGAATAAAATAATGTGATAAAAGTATAAGGATATGGGTATTATAAGCATACACTGTAGAAATTGAAATAAACAGGCTTCCCATAAAGGAAATCTGATTAGCCTCTATAAACTCCTGACAACTCAGCTAAGCTTCTAAGTCAAAGCTCTTCTCATGTAATTTCAACTTGAATATTTTCTCCCTAGCTTCTATTTTAAATTGTTTTTAATTAACTTCACTGGCATTTTGCATCCTGCTATGAAAAGTCCGCCTAATCATCTCAGAGGACTCTCCCAAGAGAGAAGAGTGCACTAAATCACACATTATCACATTAAAGTTTATTCCAGCTCTCAGTCCAACAGTCTTGGCAAATGCACTGGGGTGGGGAAGGGAACAGACTCAAATGTTGCACAGATTCCAGAGCCCATTATCTCTAATTCATCGTAGGTAGGGAAAGTTGTATTGATTATCTGCTTCAACCACATTTATCACAATGTCATATAATACATTTTACAATTTGTACTTCGCCCAGATTTCTGACTGTATATGAGACGTTAGGCGAGTCACTTAAATTCTCTGCACATCCTTTCCAAAAAGTGAGCCAGTTGAACTAAATTATTTCTAAAGATCCTTCTAGTTACAAGTTGCAAGTTTATGAATGAAGCACTTAATTACTAGGCTCTTTCGACTATATGGATTCTAGTAACTACTGCACAAAAAAAGCAAATACCTACATTTTCAATGTTGATAACACAATAAATTTTAAAACGCTTAGTCTGAAAAAGAAAAAAGAAAAAAAAA